ATATATATGCTCGTCGCGGCATTTTGTGCAACGTGTTAAAATAGTTTCTCGTCTTTTAGCGTGCGTATATATAGGCAGGCGGACGTCACTTTCCTCTGTCAACGACTGCGCGATTTTAAGAAGCACGTCGGTAGCTGACGAAGAAGGCGAGAATTAAAGAAGTTCCGCTTCGGAAATTCGAATTTAACAACACGGCATATATATTGAAAACAATTTAATATTAATTAGCTGTAATATTCAACAATCGGCGCTATATGATTAAATACAACTTTCGCGCGATAATTACAAATTAGTGAGCTCGAATTAGTGATCGTTACGAGGTTATTGAATAGGATTATACATTTGCTACGACCTTGAAACTCGCCTGGGTGACGTTACGCTTGGAATCTCTTATAACTCTTTTTAGACTCTCTGTTTTACGTTCCCTGTTCGTCTGCGAACGAAACGTTCAAAATACCCGCCGGCCTTTGAAATCGCACGCCTACATTTTCATCATGATATTAAATTCTATTTTTGCCTCCTCTGCTTACGCCACGCACCGTCTTCGAAGCATCCGATCAAGTTGAGCTTTCATATGTTTCTGCCGTTTCTTAATTGGTTTCTCTTCCGCCGTTTCCAGTTAATTGTCAGATTGAAACCGTTTCAACTGCAATCCGCAGCGTCGATCTATCGATATGGTAAACATTGACTCTCTCTTTCCCCGGTGCAGTACCCTTAGACTCTGAAGGTTAAGGGTTTTTTCCTATTTTTTAAAGGACACGACACGCGCGGAGTAACTTTAACTCGACAAGATTTTATCGTCAGAATAACTATATCGTGCAGGTTTCAGTTATACCGCCACACACGCCGCACACATAATTGTTATTTCAACGCGCATGCGCGCCCGCTCGGCAGGCGTAGTGTATAATATGTACTAAAACGTGTAATGTAATGACGCATTGGAAGCAATAGGGCTATTTATACATTCGTGCGTGCGCGCGCGCGCCTGTGTGTGTGTGTGTGTGTGTGTGTGTGTGTGTGTGTGTGCGTGCGTGCGTGCGTGCGTGCGTGCGTGCGTGCGTGCGCGCGCGTGTGTGTATGTGTGTGTGTGCGCGTGTGCGTGAGAGAGAGAGAGAGAGAGAGAGAGAGAGAGAGAGAGAGAGTAGTAGTGTGTGACAGCGATGTCTAAACACAGCGCCTAAACATCCACTAAA